ATTTAACACTCCTGTTTTTGCTGTATACTGTAATACTTGTCACAGATACGCTAAACTCAGTTGTTTGTTTTGCAAAATATTTTATTTTTTGTACCAGGAACAATGTTTTTACTTGGCAGCTAAAAATGCAGCAGAAGTGTGTTTTATGAAATTAATTGCAGCTATAAGATACCTTTTGGAAGAAGTCAATAAGGTTTGTGACTGAGCTGAGTTTGTTTGCATCTGCAGGAAATCCAGCTGGTAAAAACACCTGAAGAGTTGGAGAACTTCATGCTGAAACACGGGGAGAACATCATCGATACGCTAGGAGCCGAAGTGGACCGCTTGGAGAGAGAACTCAAGGTTGGATCAAAGGAAACTTGTTTTTATTTTTGAACAGAATGTAATAAATRCTAAAAAAGCACTAAGATTGAATGATTCTGTCTCTCGTTGTAGCAACGTAACCCAGAGGTTCGTCATGTAGACTTGGAGATTCTCTAAGACCTGAAGGGTCCACCTCCGGCTGCTCCTCAAGGAACATTAGAAGAAGAAAGGGTGGYCAAGCCCGCCTCTTACTCCGACCACCACAAACAGTCCAGAACAACTTGTCAAGTCTTACCGTAGACCAGTCTGGAAACGAAACTCCTGSCAGAGATCCACTTTCACACTGACTGGTACTGGAAAAGTGTTGGAGCCTCAGAGTTCGCTTTTGTTCACATTCCTCCAGTTGTGTTTCCCGTTTTGAATGAGGTCATCGCAGTTTGAAAAGCAGAACAGGACCAGGATCATTTACCAGACTTTGTACTTTACTTTAATGCTACGCTTGAACCACAGTGATGGTGTTTCCTTCATCAGAGCAAAGGAAACCTGAACGCTACATATTTCAAACACGACTTATTTAATGTCCAGGCCACGTTAGAGGTTTTTAAAAGTAAAAACTTGATGGCTCCGGGCCGCACCCGTTCTAATAAAAATAGTGGGATTTTTATTAGTATTATTCTGTTGCAGAAAAAAGCACAAGTTAAATTGTGTTATTAAAGCTTCTTAATAGATATTAGAGGTGAGGAGTTATCTGATGTTGAAAAAAAACTTCAGTTTATATTTAAAGCAGAGTTTTACAATACATTGTTCTGTTATTGTAATATTTTATTAAAACAGTAAAAAAATTGATTGATGAATGACCAGAATTAGCTAAAACAATTACATCATTTTTTATTTTCTTTATGAAAGCCATAAAGTTTGTGTTCAAAGTGTTTTGAGGTTTTCAGCAGATAAATATAATGCTAAAGTAAAAAGCCCAAGTATAGGTTTTTTTTTGTTGTTTTTTCAAAACAAAACTCATCAGACGAGCTGCATATTCTTCAGACTTCATCGAACGCCTGACTCCAATAACAGATTTAACTCCATCTTGATGTTTTAGTGCTGAATATTTTGTGTAAAACCTGCAGAGCTGAGTTGTTTTGTGGAGTTGCAGCTGCAGTACAGAAACATGGATATGTATTTTTGAAGGTGTTCATGTTTTACCTGATGTAGCTAATTTCTGCAGGACATGGAATAAATTTGAAATAATTTATTTAAACATGTTGCTTTATTTAATTTGTGATGGACTTGAATTTATCATGTAAACTGATTTTATTTGAATTTTTTAATTTTTTGTAAAAATGTCAGGTATTTTAAGATGTGTTTTTCAGAGGTGTATATAACAAAGCACATTTTCTTTGTTACAGTACTTAAG